TGCTCCAGGTCCCTCCATATTGTCCCAAAGGGTACGAGATCCTTCTTTACAACTGCATAGTATTCCATGGTGTGAATGTCCCACAGCTTTTTTACCCACTCATCTACTGATGGGCACTTGGGCTGTTTCCAGATCTTAGCTATTGTAAACTGCGCTCCTATGAACATCGGGGTGCATATATTCTTTCTGATCGGTATGTCAGGATTCTTCGGATATATTCCCAGAAGTGGAACCATTGGGTGAAAAGGCAGTTCCATTTTTAATTTTTTGAGGACACTGCATACTGTTTCCCACAGTGGCTGCGCCCATCTGTATTCCCACCAGCAGTGTACTAGGCTCCCCTTTCTCCACACCCTCGCCAGCACTTGTTTGCTGATTTATCCATGGTGAGCATTCTGGAAGATGTGAGGTGATATCTCATTGTAGTTCTAATTTGCATCTCTCTGATGATTAGTGACCTTGAGCATTTTTTCATATGTCTCTGGGCCATCTGTATGTCCTCTTTGGAGAAGTGTCTATTCAGGCCCTTTGGCCTTTTTTTAATTGGATTGTCTGTCTTCCTGGTGTTGTCATATAAGCTCTTTATATGTTTTGAAAATTAATCCCTTATCAGATGCATTGTTGGCAAATATGTTCTCCCATAGGGTTGTCTTTTCGTTTTCTTCATTGTTTCCTCTGCTGTGCAGAAGCTTTTCAGTTTCGCATAATCCCACTTGCTTATTTTTTTCCTGTGTTTCTCTTGCTGTAGGAGATATATCAGCAAAAATACTGCTCCAAGAGATGTCTGAGATTTTACCACTTATGTTTTCTTCTACGATTTTTTATGGTTTTGCAACTTACATTTAAGTCTTTTATCCATTTTGAGTTTATTCTTGTGTATATAGCAGGACTAAAAAAGATGTTCATTGCTACTTGGTTCCCTTCTGGTCATAGCTGTTCCCTTCTCTGAATTACCACTGCTACAGTGTTCAAGTCTCTCAGTCTCACGTACTTAAAATACCACAAGCACAACCCCCATCCTTTACTTCACTGCAGCCAGCTTTCTTCCCATGGACCTGATTCCCTAATTAATACTGACAGTGTCATCTGACTCCTTCACTTGAGGTTCACTCCCTTTCTTTGGCATATTAATTTGAAACTTCTTTGATTGTCTTTACAGTTCCTGAAAGTTCCCTTTTCCTTTCCCTTAACCCAAACTCTTCTTCTCCATTTCCCCTTTCTCTGTAATCTGGATCTTCTGTCCTGTTCCTCCAGGCTGCCCTCATCTCTTTCCCAAGGCCACATTGGTTTCTTGCTCTGAAACTGTAACACCCTCCTGTCTCATTTCACACCTCCTAGTGACAGACCTACATCCTTTATAGGTCTTTGCCTCAACTCTCCAGCCTCCTTGACCTCACTCTAGCCCTTCTTGCCTGGAAGCATCATTAATACCTAGTAGCATTCTGAACTGTATTTAATTGCTAATGTGTTAGATTGAGTGCTTACAATTCCTTTGGTTTCATATGCCAGTCATATTTCAAAACCAAGTCTGGTTACTGGCATTAGTTTTACTTTCACTGCCCTAGTAAAAATCTTTAAAAATCATTTTAAATCCTCCTTTCATTTTTAAAAAGATCTTTTACAAAAATAGAGGAACATGATGTTAGAATAAAAAAGTTTAAATTGAATAAATTTAGATTTATTTTTTAAAAACCTTTTCTTATCTTTATTCTTTATCCTTATCTTAATTCTTTAAATTTTGATGTGGACCAGAGGAAACTATCAGGGAAATTCTTAGACAAACATTTGGGAGCCTCCATAACTGTCTCCACATACCTATTGTTTCTATAACACGGCGAATTGGGACTTAGAGAGTTCCTACTATGAGCCAAGTAGTGCAACTGTGTGTTTGTGTCTGTGTGTATTAGATATTAGTATGCCATTCTACAGATTGCACAGCCAAGGCGTAAGAAGCTTGAAACTTGCTCCAAAAATCCACAACCCAAGATTAATCATGAGAAATTACATCAGGTATGCCAAATTTGAAGGAAGTTCTACAAAATACCTGACCATTACTACTCAAAAGTGACAAGGCTATGAAAAATAAGGAAAGGCTGAGAAACTGTCACAAATCGTACATGACAACTAAATATAACGCAATGTCCAAGACTGGATCCTGGAACAGACAAAATACGTTAACCTAAAATTGGTGGTATAAAGTCTGGAGATTATTTAATATTAACACACCAATGCGTGTTTCTTATATTTGACAAACGTACCACGGTAGCATGAGATAAGATCAGAGGAAACAAACTGATTGAAGAGTATATGGGAACTCCCTTGTGCAATCTGTATAACTTTTCTATAAATCTAAAATTATTCCACATTAAAAGTTTAATTAAAATATTGAGAAGAGGTTCTACTGGCAAATTCTTTTGGAAACTTTGGGGTAAATAATGCCCAATTGCATTTCTCAATTCCCATAATTATCAGTTTTCTGAGATAGTAATATGCATTGTGACTATAACATAAGGGATAGAGGATGTTATCTTTACCAACATATTTGGTCAGCTACCTTTTCTTTCTTTAGAAAGCGGTTTTCCAGGAAAAAATGCTGACATGGAGAAGGTTTTTCCCAATGTTTCATATATGTATAACCAATATCCAACTGTGTTCAAATTTTAACCAGCAACTTTTGCTGAAGAGAGAAAAATGCCATGAACATGTAACTGGCAAAGGACTTAAAACCAGACGATACTATGATGAATCAGCATTAAAATTATATTGCCCAGCCGGGCATGGCTCAGCGGTTGAGCGTCAACCTAGGATCCAGGCGATCGGGGTTCGATTCCTGGTCAGGGCACATGCCCCGGTTGCAGGCTTGATCAATGACTCTCTCATCATTGATATTTCTATATGTCTCTCTCCCCCTCTCCTTTCCTCTCTCTGAAATCAATAAAGGTATATTTTTAAAAAAGAAAAAAAAGTTATATTAATGGGCTGCTGCAGTTGACCCAACTTGACAGGATGACTATAAAATGGTAAATCTATAGCGTACTTTTAGTTAAACAAAGAAAAACATAAAAATCAACCATGTAAGTACAGGATGAGAAAGAATGGACTCAAATGCCCATCAGGTTCCTGTGAGGGGCTTTGTGCTTTGAGGTCATAGGTAGAATGAATGCAACTGTCCTGCTTAGTGAATGGGACATACACAGCAAAGTTATGGCCGTTTCTGCAGATTTGTTTAGTTCTCTGTGCCATATCACAAAAGCTCCTCAATGAATCATTTCCAAAGGAGAAAGAACAGGATGGTGAGCATCTTGAAAACCACGTCCGATTAAGAAGTGTTTTAGAAAACTAGGAATTTAACCATGATGAATGGAAATCTTAAGGGGACTTGACAGTGGCCCTTACATACACAAGGATACAAGGAGAATCCAACCCATTCTGTGCAACATCAGAAGTCAGAAGGAGGAGCTAAGGAAACAAGAGGGGGCATGCCTTAGTTCAACACCATCTTTCAAATCATTAAAGTGCCTCAGAATGGAATGGATGTCGCTGAAGCAAAGTGAGCTCCTAGACTCTGGGATTGTTTCAATAGAAGCTGGATATCCACTTGCCCAGATTGCTGCCAAGGTGTCTTTTATACTGCACTTAATATATGACCTCTACGTATCCTTCCAGTCCTAAGATCTGTGAATCTATGAAACCACAGGGAAAAGAAAAGCAAGAGGCACTGAGAAAACTAGCAAACTATTAAAAACACTCCTTACGGTACCTTAGACCCCACTCTGCCTCTCTTTTAAAGAGCATCCCTGAGATAATATCTAGAAAATGCCTGAACAAATGCTGGAGTTTAGCTAAAGAATCAGTGCCAAAGTGCCATCCTTAAGTGTGTACGTAACAGACATCTGATGGTATAATTTAAATTACAGTAGAAGCCAGGGAATTGAATTTATCTAGACCAAGTATTATTACCAAAAAGAAACTTACTGAAACAAACAGGCGGATTTTAACAAATCCACTATTTTTTCGTCCTATGGAAATAATTGGTTTATTTACAAAACGTATGTGGGTAAGTTCAAGAGATCTGCTTCAAATCTGCTCCCAAGCTGAGCCAGAACTATCATGAGGTGAGTCACTGAGGCACCTATGTTGAGGAAACCCTCACTCCCAAGGTCCTACAAAGGCCTATAGCCCTTGAGGGTGAGTATCACTTTAAATTTTGCTTCAGAGGTGCCTGCTTACCTCACCCTAGTCCTAGACCTGTGATTGGGCAGGGCCTCAAAACCTTCTGTGACATCACACTAAACGGTTCCCTAAGTAACGGCTATATAGCTACCCACCTACCGGTCAGTACGGTCTGTTGCTCAAGAGCCTGAAGACAGAGAGACCTCAGGCCACGTCTTCCCTCAAGCCCTCAACGGGAGGTAGGAGACAAGTCTGTACGGACTCTGCCATGCGGCAATGGCCTGGGCCCCAGAGCAGAAGTGGGCGGAGCCGAGTCTGAGCGCCCTCGGGGCAGGCAGGGCCGGCAGGGATGGCAGGGCAGGCGCAGGCGGCGGGGCCGGC